TGAGAGTTTATAACATTGTCAAGATCATATAAAAATTTACTTCAGTGATACATTAATTGTAATCTAAATATACATCATAGTTAATTCATATCTAGCCCTAGAATCAAAAGCTAGCCTGTGTCATAAGAATAATCTAATTTTATCAAAAATTAAACAAATAATGGTTATTTTTTCCTTTTTAAGGGAAATTAGTAACATTTCAAATCTAGTAGTCATATTTTTGAAATATACATCTTAAATAAAAATAGCAGATGTATCGGTTCCTTAAAAATAATGCATTTTTCCCAGGGGTGGTGGCATATGACTACAGTCCCAGGACTCTTGGCGCTGAGGTTGCAGGATTTCAAGTCTGTGGCTCCATAGGAAACCTTATCATCCTCACCCTAAATGTGAACATTTATTGGGTGAAAACTTTCTATGTGGTCATGAGTTTTTGGAGGCAGGAAATTCATAAGAATGTGTTCATGACATGAAGTGTACACATTCTTCTTAGCACGGCCCAACTTTGTTTTAGCTGTGTATTTGTGTGAATAAATGCCACAGACATTGCACATCTAACTTTATGCACCAGAGGGCACTCAATGAATCCATAAATTTCTACTTTAGTCAACTTATTCTTTTTCAGAGAGATTCTTCACAATTTTGTGTTTAAATAATTAAAATACATACTATGATGGTGCTATTTGAAGTAAAGGAGTACAAAGGAATACATTTTCTGAAAGTTAGGACAGATGTCATGTACACCTTCTCTAAATGATTAAAATTAAGAAGAGGAAGTTGTGTGGAAATATGTCCTCAATTTGATGATTCAGTCTTTAAAAATTACATGACTAAAATATATAAGTTTTCAGACTGTCCACATTCATTGAAAGATGTAATTATAATTCTGTTCAATATTTGATCCTTTTTTCTATTATGATCCTATGATGCTTGGGAATAAAATTAATGTATCAAAAGATGACTATTCAAAATATTTCTTCAGGTGAAAGATCTTATATCTGAGAATAGGTGCCAATCATTTTGAATTCTGTAAAATGTCTTTGAAAAATGTCTAACGAACATTTTCTGTAAGATGAATTGGTGTTAAAAAGTTGTGGACATCTCAACATTATCACTCACCATACATCTACACTTTATCTAAAGAATAAGCCATAAATTATCTAAATAATAAAGACAATGTATAACTAGTAGTTAAATGCTAACTATAAAAGGTTTTACAGATATCCACTTAGCAGGAAGCATTCAGGTGCTGTTGTGATTGCATGCTTAAGTCTTCATAATCACATAGGTTCCTCATGGGAACCAAAGACATATATAACTAATTTAATTAGAAAAAAAAGATTTTTAAAGGTATTTTTAATCTTAAGGCTGAGAAGAGATGCAGCCATAGACAAGCCTACTGTCAGAGGGAGCATTCTGCTCATTATCAGTCCTGTGGACAGTTAGCACATACATTCAAATTGGAGGCCAGAGGAACTCTGGGAGCGAAGCGAAGAGGGGACTCCAGCATGCAGAAATTCCAGTGTGAAGCCCAGGGGATCTTCCTGCCAGCACAGGGCAGGGCGGGGAGAGAGCAGGCATCTTCGCTAGGAGGCAGAGAGGCAAGGCATCCTGTGAATACAAGACACAGCCCTGCAGCGCCTACCCCAACTCCCAGGAAGGGTGTCCCTTCTCTCCCCGACACCCCCTTGGAGCAGCAGCTGGTATTGGTCAGGTGGCTACCTCTGAAGAGCCCTTTCCAGGCCGCCTGTCTGTGTACTCAGGAGAGCTGTGGTGGAGACTTGTGCTTATTTTTTTGTGTCCAGGGAATTGGCTCTCTCTGGAGGATGGCTCAAGCTCACAGTATATAGTGGGCAGTGGAAAAAGCAACCAAAGGCTTACTAAATACCCCATGAGTGACAGCAAATAAGTAAACTAGGCCTGACTGTCTATATTTAACCAATTAAAACAGGAAACAGTTGGGTGGCTTTGTATACATTATGCTTTAGAATAGCTGATATATATATATATGTAGGATATATTTTTTTCTTTAATATCTATGTGTTAATCTTTGAGGTACTTTGGTTTGTCAGCTGTGTGTGTGTGTGTGTGTGTTGGGTTTTAAGGGCTGTAGTTGTTTGGAGATAGAGTGTCATCATACAGCCTAAGCTGTGCTTGAACTCATTATGTAGCCTGTGCTGGGTTCACATTAGCTATTGATTCTCCTCTCTCTGCCTCCCAAATGCCGAAATTATAGGTGTGTTCAGCTAGCTTGGCTCATTTTTTTTATTTGCTTTGCCTTCTCATGTTTGCCTTTAAATCTCATTAAACAAAATATTTAATCAAGCAGATCAGCATAATAAGCAAAGTATTTTATGTAGAAAGTAAATTAATCAAGTCGCACAGAAATGCAGCTTACATGACATACCATTTCATAAAGGATGTGAGTGTTCTCTGTACTGAATTGAAAACAAGTGCACATGTACCTACCTTGGTGAAATCAAGTCCATTGTTTCCTGACTTCAATCTAGATAGTGTGTCTGGGAAGGCTTGCATCCATTCAGGAGAAATATGCAAATTTTCATGTCTACACAACACTGTAGTGTAGTAGTTGAAGAACTCCTCAACACTGGGAAATCACTCATAAAATTAAACAGCATTGTGTGTAATAGAATAATTTTAGTTTACTTAATAAGGTAGTTCGCATTAAATGTTGAAATCAATTTTCTGAGTTTTCTCAGCTGGTTCTTGGGAGCTAGTCAAGAGAATTTTTCCCACTGGATGGAAACACATAAAAACTTATATTCACATAATCTAGATGCAAGCCACCCACACTCTGAAATCCTAGAGGACAACTTGGAAAGATTAGACAGATTTATGGTACTGAACACTAGGTCCTAGGAGAGCATTGTCTTGTGATAGTGAAGAAAGAAAATACTTCTTGGACGGAAGGAAAGACGGGAAGGGGAGACCTTGCTTGAGATTCATTGTACTCATAAACTTACTTGTGGAACTGTAACCCTTTTGTACAACCACTTACTCATAAAATTCATAGACATTTCTGGTGCCCTTCTAAGACAAGACATTTAGATGATGAAGGCTTGGCTTTGCAGTATTCTTTTACCTGTTCATGGTACGTCTACTAAAATTTATGACATGCACAATTTATTACACTTAGGTTGCGTTGGGTCACTTATTACAAGAAGTAAACATATTGCTTGTAGATTTGTGCATGCGTTATGTATGCAGAACATATGAATGTCATTAAAACAGACATCTCTCACAGACAGGCCTCCGAAGAGGAACATTCAGCACACTGCTTCCACGACATCGTGAGAGGGTGTGAGAAAAGCTCATAAGCACTGAAAGTTAAAACCTTCAAACAATAAAAATTCAGAGGTTCCAATTTCACTGAGGCTTCTACCTTGGTATGGAATTAACACCGGCCCAGCCGCAGAGCTAGTACTGGCCTCTTTGTCTGCTAATCGCTGTCTCCATCGGGAATGTCTGCTCCATGATGGAATAATTAAAATTCGTTCTGTACAGAGATGCTGGCATTGTCACCGGCTATTGTGAATAACAGCCGTGAAATCTGAAAAGGAGGTGCAGTGAGACCGAACACTTGCAGACAGAACTGCTTCTCAGTGTCAGATAAGAGCACTACAGAGAAAGGCTGGTTTGCTAATTCACGGCTCAGCCCGTTTAATCAAGGGGGCAGCTTGTCTTCTTTTTCCTTGGATCCTTGCATGAGTGTGTTTTTCTCATTCTTTTCCTGGTCCCATTGGCTCTGGACAAAATATTTATTTTGAGATTGGACTGCATTTTACAGTGTGCCAATTGTTTCATACGATGCTCATGAGAAAAACAAAAGACAAAAACAAAAACAAAAACAGCCCAGCAATTAATTAATACCACCTAGCATGGAGATCCTCCCTCTCCCAGAGGCAGAGCCAGGCTCTGAGAGACTGCCTCCCCAGGTTCCTGTGAGACGGGGCCATACTGAGTCATTAAATAGCTACACGCTACCCTGTGGTACCTCTGGGGCTCCCACACACCCTTCTAGAAGGTTCTATCCAGGAGGGGCCTCACGGTGAGCCACCAGCCGTGTGCGGAAGCAAGGCTTCAGATCTCCAGCTCCCAGCCTCCCATGCTAGTCCAGCCTCTGAGCCGTGAGATGCGGAGCTGCACTTAACACTCTGGAAGAGAGCACGGTGGCCGGCGGGTGAGGAAACGACGTATTACCAAATGTGTTACTAAAAAAAAAATCCTATGTCATATGTCCACAACTTTACTGTTTGTGCTGTAGAAATGTGTAGCTAATTTCTCCAGACTTATGAGTTTTGAACAAAATCAAATTAAATTTAAACTTCTAGCACACTTCAGTTTGTAAGTACCACTGGAGGCCAAGTTATTGCATTATGGCATTATTAGTCCCAACGCCCTCCAGAATTTAATACTGCAAGTACTGATACTTCATTTAAAATAATAAGATACATATCTTTCCTTTAAAGACTAAGAAAAAAATCACAGAAAATTCCATGTTCAGATAAGCTATGAAATGCAAACATATTTTTCCTTCAGCCCAGAATTGTCATGAAAATTGTTCAAAATAAAGATTGCTCAAGATTGTATCTTGAGCAATATCAGTTCACACACACACACACACACACACACACACACACACAGAAGTATCATCCCACATACCCTGGCTTCCACACAGGCAAAAACAGGCTGGTGTCATACAGCTATGTCACCACTAAGACAGACATTCATGTTTAATAATCACTTCGTCACAAGCATAGCATGTTCCCTTGCGATGGAAATGGGCAATGCATAGCACGTCATTATCTTTGCTCAATACCTCACCTAACTGATTTATTCCTTGGTGTTATCATCCTGTTGGTTTCTATTTGCTGACTCATAGGATTCCAGTAATACTCTGAACGTTAGATAAGACACTGCACATCTTAGGGCTTTGAATTCCAGATGTGGACCTGGGAGAGAGAGTGACTGTCACTTACTCTCGCTCCTTCTGGAAGGCGTGTTGGAACGCAGCCAGGTGCCCCGGCAAAGCTGACAAGTCAGCAGTTCCTTTGTTCTCTGGAGGCGGATACTTTGCTGTCAGCGTGAGCCCAGGTGCCCTTCTAAATCTACCACTGCAATCTGGATCGGGGCTTGTCTCTTCATTTAACCTTAACGGATCATTAACAACAGCTTCCTGGAAAAAGAAACACACACACAAGAATTACTATTGTTTAACATTTAAGTCTCTTCTCAAAAGTCAAGGACAAAACCTATGTTCAAAAGGAAGGAGATGCTGTCATTGCGCTGAATCTATATGACAACAGCCCTGCTGTTCCCTAAGAGACGGAGAGATAGAATATGACCAAGCAGATCTGTATCTGTCAGATCTGTTTTGCAGTGTTCTGCTGTTATAATGAGCATATTGGCTTAATGATTTGCCTTAAATTCTGCCTCCTTCTTCTAATCACAGCAAAAAAACAAAACAAAATAAACCTTTGTGTAAACTTCAATATATTTAAAGTGATTAAAAAATAAATTCATGAATCTTTACTACAGCTGATTTTGGCACAAAAACTCCCTGGAGAGTTTCAAGTAAAGCAAAATGATTTTTATAAACACGTTTTTGCGGCAACAGGTAGAGAGAATTTTCAGGGTCTTGAATAGACCCATAGACTTGGTTATTGGATTTTTAGTTTATTAGTTCAATCTCAAGTAGAATCAAATGTGATATCTTAATAAATACAGATAGCAATTACTGCAATGTGTTACTAAAAAACAATCCTATGTCATATGTCCACCATTTTACTAAGTTTATGCTGGGTTTATGCTGTAGAGATGTGTAGCTAATTTCTCCAGATTTATGAGTTTTGAACAAAATCAAATTAAATTTAAACTTCTAGCACACTTCAGTTTGTAAGTACCATTGGAGGCCAAGTTATTGCATTATTGCATTATTAGTCCCAATACTCTCCAGAATTTAATACTGTAAGTACTGATACTTCATTTAAAATAATAAGATACATATCTTTCCTTTAAAGACTAAGAAAAAAATCACAGAAAATTCCATGTTCAGATAAGCTATGATATGCAAACATATTTTTCCTTTAGCCCAGAGTTGTCATGAAAATTGTTCAAAATAAACAGCTGATTCAATTTTCTTCAACAGCCTATACTGATTTCCCTACAATCACAAAGAATTGTATTTATTCCCCCTTCCCAAACTTTAATTATTACCTACAATATGTGATTTATTCTTGATTTTACATATTCCAAATGAAACTTGAAGATTTTCCCAGAATGACACATGCATAAATGTCTTAACTTCTACAGTATGGAGCTTACTGACATCAAATAGAAAAGAAATATTTTGTGAATTCCAGGCCTGTTGATTGTATCAGCTAAGCTTCCTCATCCCCAACACTGCACTTGTATTTGCCTGTTGAATTTTGGTAATATAAACATTTCTCCAAATACATATACAGAGGGACTAGCAGCCTGAACTGTGAGCACAAAAAACAAAAGTAAAAGGCCCAGTAAGCCAAAGTGATGTCACTATTATCTTTTCAGAGGTTCATTTAGAATAGAACTTCAATTTCATACATTTTGGAAAAGATTAAGACTTTCTATTGAGTTAAAAGCTGCAAGATATTAACTGATACTTTTAGAGAGGCAATTGCCCAGACAGGTAAAACCAATGCCATACGGAGAGGTGGTATGTGCTTCCCAACTGTCCGCTGGTCCACAGATGCTATGAGGGTCTGCCCAGCCAAAGTAGGGAGGCCGATGACAAATACATGAAAATTCATTGCTGGATTAGATATCAGAGTAAGATACTCAATACTGTGTCAGTTTTCCTTCTTCTTCATCGATACTCAATATATGCGCGCAGCACGTAATCTTCCAACTCAATGAGCATTTTTCTTACCTTACGATCTGTGTTTCTCTCTGCAGGAAACTGTCTTTTCTCTAAACATTGTCTCATAGATCCGCAGAGTTGTGAACTCCTTGGCGATGGCTCTGTACAGTCAGAAGACAGCTCTACAAAGCTAGGGAGCTCTGCATCCTGGTTCACTTTGGTGCCAGTGGCTTCCCTGGGAAGTGACAGGCTTTGCTTCTTTTTCAGGACACTCAATTCTTTCATTACCATGTCTAGTTTTAGTCTTAGTTGCCTTCCTTCCTCTTTGGCAAGGTTCCTTTCCACTCGAACTTTACTCCATTTCTCTCTCCAATTGGCGGTGCAGTCTGACCACCAGCGCATGGTCTTTTCCATCTGGGCAGCTCTGGCCTTGACTTCTTCGAGTTCCCGCAGGCGAAGCTCTTCACAAAAGTCCCACTTGGGGGAGGCCTGCGAGGGGCCACCGTGGGTTGGGGCAGCATGGGGCTGTAGTTCGGAAAGAGGAAAGCCAGAACCTCCGGGGTTCTTGGGGGGCGATGCAGAAGCTTCCACATCGCAGCAGCGAGCTTTAGCTGAAGCCTGCTGCATCTGGAAGTCGTGTGCTTCCTCGATCAACCGATGAATGGCTTCTAAGTTCATCTTGATCTGCCTGGAAAGAACAGAAGCACACACTTGAATTCCCAAGAACAACAGGGCAAGATGTACACTGCAAAAACGGAGTTGTAAACAAGGCAACGTTTCAAGAGTGCCCATTCTCCTTCCCAATATAATTAAAACCACAAACGATCTTGTGCATTTGTAATTGTCCTCAAATAAACAAACCACTTGTGTCAAGTTCTGCCAGATACAAAAGAAAATATAACTCTTGGGGGTAGCATATGTAATGATTATTCATTTCAACAACTCCAATTCCACTCATAATATTTATTGTTATAGTTCGTCACCGAATGCAAGGGCAGCTCAGTGTTCTTGCTACTCTTAAGCCAAAGTTTATGGAGGTTGAATGCACACTCTGTGAATACAGGCAGATAGGACATTTCCTGTGCCAAAGGCTGAATCGTGAGATGCTCTACATCTCAAGGACGATTGACCCATTTCAAGGTGAGCAGATGACTTGGCTTTGACTGATGTGAGTGAAAACCTACTGTAAAAGAGGCCATCGAGATAAAAACTCTTTAACGTGCTTTCTTCCTGCATGAACAAAGAAAGGGTCTGGAAGGAACAGGTGTGACCGCCATCTTGTGCCGTCTGAAGTGGGGGACACAAAGGATGGATTTCGTGGATTGCTTCACTGGAAGGCTACAATACAGACCTCTGGTTGCTTTGCTCTGCGTGAAGGGTTGCCTGAATTTATATTAGCAATGATAGCTGAATTTTCTGTTCCTTGCAGAAGAAAAACCACAACTAATTAACGAATTGATGTATGAATTAATTACATATTTAATATTATGATAAGCTTAGAAATGAAAAGATTAATAATAAGATGAATTATGATGAACTCTCAGCTAGATAAGAGGTTTATAGCAATATGAGTTCTATATAATCTTGGCCATTACAAAGCTTTGCAAAGGAATTCATACTAATTTTTATATAAATTCCAAAACAAATAAATGTGTAAATGTATATGATTTCACACAATATATTATTCAATGTAGCTATGCAGCTACATTAAGAATATGGTATGTAGGAGAGTAGTCAAAAGGGTAGCATTAATCAAGGTGCATTGTGCTCACAAACTGACATGTTGAATTGAAACACCTTTGTACAACTACCTAGGATAATAATCAAGACTATGACAAATTATACATTTTCCTGAAAAAAATTGTTCAAAACATGCAGGTTAAATTTCAAATTGATAAATTTCCATGTCTGTGTGAAATTAACCTAACTTTATTTTCAGGTACAGTTTCTGATATAAATAATCTTAGATATTTATGTGCCTGACATTAATTCTCCTACCTTTCTACACTTGTTTTTATGTAGCTCCAGATTGTAAACTATCTCTTTATGATCCGTCAACTTAATCAACTGACTGGCTCTCATTATACCAACTAACTCACAAAACGTGTCTTTGCCATTAGGAAAAATAGTATATGGCATTTCTTAAAGACTATAATAGTAATGATATATAACTAAAAGACTTTATAATATACAAGTTGATTTGTATTAACTTTTAGTTATAGAGCTAAGACAGCTTAACAAGTGCTCTGAATGTCAAGATCATCCTTCTTTAGGCTCATGGCTGTCATTTTATTTGTTAATATTAGTATATGCCAACAACATTTGAATTAATGATATGTAGGTCTAATTGTTCATTTCATTATCTGTAATTCAGAGGACACAGGTAATACCACTTGCCAATTTCTAAAATATTACTAAACCCAAACCAATATGAAGAAAACAAAAAATAAAGACATTTAATTCTATATCTTTTGGTTGGGATTCCAAAGTAAAGACAAAGAATTTTCAGCATATTAAACTTACAATTATCTGTGCCATTTTTCAAATTAAATCAGTATCATAAAATTCTAGTGTCTTTAAAATGTCTCATTAACTTTTATAACACCAGTATTTTGATGACTCTATAATTGGATTCTGGTGCATTGAGATCTTCCTACCAATTAAGGATATATTTTTTTCCGCATCTGACTAAATAAAAATGAGCTGGGCTCAATTATTTAGTCCTTGAACTTGAATAGCATTTTCTGTTCTAAAGAGCTTTTTTTCCCCTAGTCAGGATACCACGCTTGAAATGGTGGCACTTAGTACATGCGCACGTATCGGTTAAAGCATTCCCTTTCCCCACGCACAGAGCATGCCTGGAGGATTGCAAGGCCAGGCTTTCCATGCTAAGGAAGTACTTCAGCGCTGTTGACTCTCTACATCCTCCTACTGATTTCAGAATTACAAAGATGCTCATGATGGAAAGCCTTTGTGAATACTGTGGATTTGTTTTTAGCCAAGTAGATGAATTGTAAATATTCTGCAGTGAATATATACTATTAATAAATTATAACTGATGCCAAACCGAGCATAGTTTATAAATCCCAAACTTTATCGTTTCTGATTTCAACTTGGTTTCTTTGTGCACAATCTTAGACAAATTATTGAACTATCTATGATTACTATAAAAACTGACAGAAATAGAATGGACTCAATAGCATTGAGTTCTTGTGACTATTATTTGGAAATTTTGTCACAGAAGTAACTCATATATATATCACCTTGGACTACTGTTCCATTTAATTTTTGAAAGAGAAATGTGTTCATAAAATACCAGGAGGAAGGAGGTAGAGATAAGAATATTGTGATTTCAGACCAGATCAAGCAAAAATGGTGAAACCCTATGGCAAAATCAAGCCAGATGTGGAGGTACACACCTGCAGTTCCAGTTAGTCTGAAGGGACAGATAGGAAGATCTTGTTCAGGGGCTAGGCAGGGACAAGACTGTGAGACCCTACCTGAGAAACAAACAAAAGCCAATTTAGGAGCCTAGTTCAAATGGTAGAGTGCATGACAACCAAGTGTGCAATGGTGAGTGCAATCAAATAGAAAAACAAGAACCAAAACAACAGAAAGCACCTGAACAATGAGATCCACTATGCTCCGGAACTCATGCAAGATATTTTAAGGAAATCAATAGCGCCAAAATAACATTTTTAAATTTTAATACAGAGAGATATACTCTAGATTACTTTGAAATATATTTCCATTTTGGACATTTTTATGTAAAAACTGACTTATATACTACACAAAAATTAGGCTGTTTAGGAGAGGGGAAGGGAAGGGAGAGGGTGGGAGAGGAGAGGAGGGGAGGGGGAGGGGAGGGGAGGGGCGGGGCGAGGAGGGGAGGTCACAGCAGGCTTTGATGTGATAGCACAGTTTGGAAGTCTCTGCTGTCCTGGGACATTGCATAATACTCAACATGTATAACAAACAATACTCAACATGTATAACAAACAAACAATGCCAATTTTTAACTAAGTATTTAAAAGAAACAATGCATTCTGATCCCAAACCTCTGTACTGCGAATTCTTTCCCAAGTGACGCTTTCTGTCACTTTCTGGAGAATGAAGTGAAGCAGAAAGAAGTATTTTGAGCAGGCATAGTATGATGGCAGAATAAAATAACCTGTAGGAGACACTCTAAAAGAAACTTTCGGATTTGCTTTTCTTAAGTCCTGGAGCATAAATACATACACAGGGATGATGACTAAAAATCATAAGCAATTACAGACTAGATTAATACAGACTTAAAATTAAATGCTAAGTAAATCATTGTAATGGCAGAAATTAGGCCACATACTCGCTAAGAACATAAGAGTAAGAACCTGTTTCTAATATTTACAAAAGGAAAGGAGGATTGCATAGCTAAATGACTAATGTGAAAGCACGTATTATTTGAGTATAAGGAGGAAAATCAGGCATTTGGGGGATTGTTTTGAAGAGAACAGGGACAGTAATGTGAATAGGGCAAGTGAAATCGCAACGCTGAGTGAGAAGGTACTTCACTGGGCTGAGGTTGAATGCTGTATTTCAAAAATAATTAAACTGTATCAAATTATGCATAGAATCACAATTTATGCTTGTTCCTCCAAATGAAAGATTTTGTCATTACGTAGAGACAAAAAAAAAGGTTGCAAGAAACAGGTAGGTAGGCAAAACACAATAAGTTACACAGGGTCGTTTGCAATCCCGTTCTCTGCAGGTGGAAGCAGAGAGCTCAAGATCCAGAGTCTGAAATAAATGGTAAGATCCTGTGTCACCAACAAATTAGCATGATAATGAAGATAGTCACTAGAAGAAAAATAAAATAAATTTGAGTACGTTGTCCGTTGTTTAAAGCTTATTTACTTCCCCAAAGCACTGTAGTTTCAAACAATGATAAAAATAAACTGCTTGAAACATATGTACATGCATGCACACGTGCACACATACATATGTATATTTATATTGGCAAAACTTCAGGGTGATATTATGGCTGGCATGATCTGATCAAGGAAAAGCTACCTTTATTTGAGGACATGGCATGGATTGGTAAGAGCAGCAGCTCTGTCTTTCATTATTTCCCTGGTCTGTAATCCCCGGGAACCACCCGCAACAAGGGAGGCGATGTATCACTGTTCCAAATCAACAGGACAGCTGACCTTGAGCTGAGGGCTACAGTAAGAGCTCAGAAAATTTCTAAGAATGTTTCTTGAAAAGGCATAATTGTAAATATAGATTTATTTTTCAAAAATAAACTGCTCCTGAATAATTTTTCCATGTAGCACTACAATGCTACTGCCATTGTTGTTGATTTAAGGGGAAAAAACTGAATTAAAAAAATATCACCTTAGAGGTCAGAGACCTATACCTCACTTCTTCGGACCACGAATAATGCAGGAAAAGGGATCTAGGATGTGGAGCCCATTGTGTAAAGTGCCCACGCACCATTTGTAATGAGTCCTACAGAAGGTAAATTCCTGTTTTCTGGAAGGCTGATCATCATAGACTCTTTATAGTGCTTTGCCCACCAACCAAAATTAGGCTGAGATAATTTAAGATTTCTTGGTAGACATAGTTTGCAACCACTCTTATTTAGTACTTGAGATACCAAAAATGTTCAAGAACAATCTGATTTCTTTTTTTATTTCAAG